GGCACCCTCAACAGGCACCTCAAAACCAAAGGTGAGCAGGGCACCCTCAACAGGCACCTCAAAACCAAAGGTGAGCACGGCACCCTCAACAGGCACCTCAAAACCAAAGGTGAGCAGGGCACCCTCAACAGGCACCTCAACAGGCACCTCAAAACCAAAGGAGCTCTCTGTGCTTGTCCATTTGCCTTCCAGTGGAGTTCTTGCTGCTTCCCATGTTCTGCTGAGCTGAGACCATTGAGCTTCCCAGCATTTGGGGTGCTGGGAGGCAGTGGAAAGTTCTGGGATAGGAGCAGCCATGTGCTGTTCAGAAAGCTGAACATGTTTTTCAGGCTGTCACCACAGTGCTGGTTTTAATATGGTTGCTTTGATTCTTGTCATTTCCAGGGCAGGCTGGCCCTGGGCTGGCTGGGAATGGTGGTGAGGGTGGATCTCAGCAATGACAGAACCAGAGCTGCATCAAGGGAAATATAGGTTGGATACCAGGGAAAAGTTTTCCACAGAAAGGGTGATAAAGTTCTGGAATGACCTGCCCGAGGAGGTGATGGAGTCACCATCCCTGGATGTGTTTAACAAAGCCTGGATGTGGCACTGGGTGCCAGGGTTTAATTGAGATGTTAGGGCTGGGTTGGACTTGATGATCTTTAAGGTTTTTTCCAACCCAGTGATTCTGTGAATTCTGTGACCCACATGGAAGTGGGCATGTTCTGGCAAGGAAATGTCTGGGTAAAGTTCTCAGCAACAATCTGGTTTGGTGGGATTAGTTGCACTGGACTTGCTGCTCCTTTAGCTCCTAAGCAAGGATTTCCAGACTTCTTCAGCTAGTGCTGATGGTGTTATTCCAAAGGAATAATACAAGTTTACTGGAGGAGAAAATGGACTTTTGTAGGAGATACTGAGATGTATCAGCAGAAAAGATAAATTATTTAAAATCTACCCAAATTCTTCCTGTATGTTCTTCACACATGGCTTGGAAACCCCGAGTGGTTTTACCATCTGAATTTACCTGTGTGGTGTTTGGAATTGCACTGAAGAGCTCCTCTGTTCCTGGTGTCATGTGGACTCTTCTGGGCTGTTCCTTGGCTTGTCCTGGTGGGCCAAGAGCTCCTCAGGTGGCACTGGTCACTCGTCCATGGCATCCCCTTGCTGGTGCTGCTGGGGATGGTCACAAAAAATGATGTTTCTCTGGAATTCCATACAGGTGGCTGCCTCCTTGCTATGAAAGAGGTGGAAGAAGTGATAGTGTCAGAGGAGAGCCAGTCTGCTGACAACTTGGCAGCCACGGTCCTTTCGGAAGATCCGCACACGGTTCTGGTGGAGTTTTCCTCGGTGGTGGCAGACACCCAGGAATACATCATCGAGGTGAGCAGGGGCAGCCAGCCTGCTCACTGGGAGCTTAGCACGGGATTTGGTCAGGAAAAACTCTGCAGTTGCTCATGTTCCTGCTCCAGGCTTTTGGGAGAACATGAAACAGGCTCTGCCCTGCCTGCATGGCCCCAGGAGTCAGTGGGATGAGCCCTGTTTGGAAGGAAAGCACTTGGAGCTTCCCCACCCTCCCAGAGTGCTGTGTGTGCCAGGAAAAGGAGAAGGGGAGACTAACAGTTGTTCAGCAGAAAGCTGAGCCTGAGAACTTCTCACCACACCAGATTTTAGGTCCTCACAAGCTTGCTTCAGCTCTCCCTCCTATTTTCTCCCATTTCTATTTATCTTACTTTGTCCCAGATAATCTCTGTTGTTTCAAACAGAAGCTGCCAAAAGCAATGAATTCTGTATTTCACTTTCTCCCCTCCGTCACACAGAGCCAGTTCCCATCCCAGCAGGGTAACACAGCTCAGTTATTGAGTGCTGCTGTAGTTC